TTAAAAATGCAGGCCAGTGTAGCCAGTCCCTAAGTAGGTGTGGCCTAAGTAGGTGTGACTACAACTTCCCCTACAACAAAAGATTACATAAATCTGTTGTTGGAATGTTGATTAATTTTGGATTTGCCTAAGGAACATGATCAAATTCCTAGATAATAGCAGGAAATTCATCAAGAATTTACACAACTTTTTTGGAAACAATTGTGTGCAATTCTGGGACTTTCCCTGTAGTCACTGTCTTCTGGGCTTTCCATGGAGTCTCTGGAGGACAATGGATTATAGATAATCCTCTTGAGAAATGAAAATAGGAAGATCTAGAAAAAAAAGTGGAAGCAATAAAGGGGAGTTATATTAAATTTCAACATCAACAATCAACATAATTTCATTGAAAATTGGAAAAGAGCTTACTCTCACTGAAAAATGTTTTAGATTAAAACGACATCATACAGTTGAACAATTATGGCCTCCAATATGGCCATGAAAATGAAAAAACTGTAAAAAGGTTAAATCATTGCCTTCTACCTTTGCAGTACAAACTAAAGAGTTAAAAAGCAACATCTTCTAAGTTAAAAATTAAAAACTTTAAAGTAGTAAAATTTTACACATTTGTCTCTGCAATATATTAATCATATGAAAAGAACTGAAAAGGGGGACAGTCAAGTATTATAATTTTAAATATTTTGTTTTAAAATTGTATCCATTTATAAAAATTAAATTTGAACTGTCTCAAAAATAATATTTATTAGACCATTCTGACATTTATATAGAGTTGTGCAAACTCTTTGAAGAACACGATGGTAAGGCAGGCCTTCCCAAACTCCAAAAGTGTTATAACTTTACAGGAAACTTTGAAATTTGAGGAGGTATATCCTTTCACCTTCCTCTCCAAGGACTTCTATTAGGTTTCTACTATCTTTGCAATTTTCTATAAATTCAGGAACCATCTAGTAAAGATATCCCAATATCAAAACAAACTTTATTGGGAATTGCATTGAAAATAGAATTGTATAAGGGGACATACTCACATTCATAATACTAATAATCCTAATCTATGAATACAGTATGCCTTGAATTTAAATTTTTAATGTCCTTTGGTAGAAATGTATAGTTTTCTCATGTTCATGTAATTAGTTGATATAATTTATATTATGTGTTTCCAATTTCATTTCATTTTTCATGAATGAAATTTATTTTTGAACATTGATATTTGGAACATAAATAAAACACATTAAATTTTTCTACTGAGATTGATGGTTTATGTTTCTTTCCTTTGAGATTTATATGTAACATTTCTTTTAGGGGTTTTTATTATTACTTCACACAAGCAGTGTTAGAAACTGCAACAAGATTGTCTCTCCTGAATACTTTCTAAACCTGAGTCCTCTTTTTTCATGAACTTTTAAAATCTACTTCCTGTATTGATTCTACACAATGATTCTACACAATTGATTCTACACAATTCTACCGACAATGACTAACCTTCTTCCAGAATCTGTCAGTAGCTAATAGTTCATCAGTAAGGTAGGTCCAAATACTTTGAAGAAAAATCAGACTAATCAAATTTGCATAGATGCTTCAGGATAACACAGATAAATGGGGATAAAATCATGCTACAGTGCTTGACTCCATTTTAGACTAATGTAGTCCAATCGCAGTTGAAAGATGACGTCACCCAGTGATGGGCCAATCGCCTCAACAGTTTTCTAACTCTGTTAGACATTCTCACAGGCCTCAAATGCCATCACCATCCTGAATCTATTGCATACCCATTGTTAAATTGTATAACTTGAATGCAAATATCTTCTCAGTTTTAGTATACCATCTTCTGTTCTCATTTTTGAGAATTTTACAGTCCAGTACATAAATTGCATACTAGCAATAGATTGCAAACTAGACTTTTTCACCTCTTTTCAGAGTATCTGCTTTATGGAGTTTTTTTTTTTTATTTTATTTTAAACTCTACTGCTTAGGGAATATTTGCTCCAACCTCACATTTCTTGATCAATCCCATATACAAAGAGAGAGTTCTTTAGCAAGTCACATAAAACTCGGTCACATAGCAATTCCGTGACTATAATGCCTTTGACACTCAAAAGAAATGCCAGTCCAGGAAAACTCCTGACAGGAAAAGAGCTGTACATCTCATGACAAGTCTACATACAACAACTGGTGTCAATCTGCCTATAGGAGTTTTAGTCTAAAACTGAATGACTGCATTCATGATGTAAACAAGATTTCTCGAATGTTCTTCCCCTTTAAGTGAAGACCTTTTATTCTTAGAGGTGCCTTTGCCTTTTTACTTTCTCTTCCTGCCTCCTACAATCATCCACTTTCTTATTCAATCCATTGTTCCCACTTGCCTTTGTGGCTCACATTCTGATAGGTTAGACCCTTCAGAATAAGACTGCCACAAAAATACAAATGAAGTGATTTGCTATGAAGGCACTATATAGCCTAGGACTATAGAAACTGCACTGGGGAAAGGAGGCAAATTAGGGCAAAATGTAAAAGTTCCGTGAACAGTCACCTTGACTCAGTCCCTCTGAGAGCTCTGCCGGCTCAACCTGCAATAACAAGATGGGGTGTTTATTATTAAAGACTATACAGGAAGGAACTTCTGACAAAGGAAATACTTTCTTCAGTCTGAGGATGGTCTCCCATATAGTCCTACAGACTATGGGTGTGGAGAGGGTAAAAGGATGCAAGAAGTTAAAAGTGTGACAAAAGGGGCTAGAAATTAAGTCTTTTTTACTATAAACCAGTGGCCTTTCCCATGCAAGTAAGGTGGCTCTCTAGAGGCCTCTCTATCAGTCCCTACATCGTCCAAGATAATGTTGAAAATGAACAGGCGTGCAGACCTCTCCTTAGTGTGCTAGAAAAGGGAAAAGACTTACACAAAAGCAATTATGTAAATGTCAATATGTTCCTAGAAGTTTCCAGTAAATAAAAAAAGCACTAATAATGTAAGTGAAACAGAGTCTGGGTATTACTTTCTGGCAAGTTCAAGGTAAAACCATACAAACACGTATGCCAATGTTAATTAATTGCTTATAAGAAAATGCATCTATTTAACACTTGTAGATTCCTCACACGGGGCCACAATGTGTGTGGATTAAACACATTACGAGATTCCTCTCATGTTCCTCACAGGAAACAACAAATCACACTTGGTTTGAATACATAATAAACTCAGAGTCACCAGTAAGCTCGTCCCCTTGGTGTCATTTAACCAAGGGCAAGCCCAGATTTGACTGCTCTGTTTCCTCCTCCCTATGTCTTGCACCTTCTTCTGTCTGTCTGTTGTGTAAGAGTGAGGCTGTTACCACATGAATGTTGTCTTGTGAATGCATCCCTTTGTCTGTGTATGTCCATGTGTATGTTTGTCTGTCTGAGCATGTCTGTGATTGTCCCTGACAAAGGACACTTCTCTCTGGAACCAGGGAGATCTCCAGAGACCTACAAGGATGACACGATCTGACAATCCAGGCATTGGTGGAGAGGATAACCTAAAAGCCCTCCCCCTAAAATGAGATTGATGACTTCTCTTTATGCCATCCTAGAGCCCTCATCCAGTGGCTGATGGAAACAGAGACAGACATCCACAGATATACAATGAGCCGAAATCGGGAATTTAGTTGAAGAGAGGAAGGAATGAAGAATGAAGGGGTCTGTACCAGGTTGGAGAAACCCACAAGAACAGTTGACCTGAACAAGGGAGAGCACATCGACCCCAGATGCTGTCTGGGAGGCCAGTACAAGACTGATCCAGACCC